AAAAAAAAAAAAAAAAAGAGAGAGAGCTCCCAGGAAAGACCAGAGAGGAAATAAGGAAACGAGGTTAGGGATAAGGAAGAAATAAAACAAAGGTGCAATGTCAAGGAAAGTTCTGGCCTCACCTAAACCCACAGGAGCCCCAAGATTTCTGGAGTTTAAATTATGCCCCAGAGTTTGCTCTACCCCAAGGCAAGGGAGCTGGGGCTGTGGTGTTCCTGTGCTAGTGAGTCACTGACTAAGAGCTACACCAGAGGATGTAGCACAAGGCACTGCTCGCTTCTACACCTGCAGGAAAAGTGGCTTCAGTAGCCAACAGTTAAACCACTGATCAGGATGCAATAGCCCTGAGAGAGCTCAGAAGAAAAAGGTGGGAATGATGCTCCCAGAACAGCACCTACAGCTCATCTTTCTTATCTTGATGTGGGCAACAGGGAGTCCTCAATGGCACAGGGAATGCAGTCATAGGCTGTTTTCCAGAGGCCCAAGGAGAAACCATTTCCAAAACCCAAAGCACTTTGAATGCAATAAATAAATTACCCTGTCTAATGTATACCCACCAGGACTTCGAAAGTTCTAACCAGAGAGAGAGAATCAGTCAGTGCCTCCTCCATGACTCCAGGGCAGAAAAGGGAAACTATTCCTCTCTCCTGGCAGGCCATCACTTTGTTGTTTCATCTCACAAAATGCTTTTCTGCTAAATGCTTCAGGGGAATACCACTCATTCCCAGTGTGACCAATATCAATATCGGAAATATCCAAATCAAAATCCCTTCCAAAGAATTTCCTTAGTGGGGGGTGACTGCCCCTTTGAAATAGTTAGGTTTCTCTCATAGAGCCTGGAGCTTTCTGTGTGATCTTCTGAGCTAGGTTTGAGGGGTCGTTGTCATAAAGAGCCGAGTTTTAGCTCAGAAGAATCATCCAGAGTAAAGTGGCCCTTGTGTTGGACTGGAACAGTATCTCCAAAACTGACTTGCTGGGGGATGAATACTTAATGTAAATGCTAAATGGAGTGTAATATATGCAGGAAGATGTACACCAATTATTAGGCATTCTTCCATGACTTTTTTAACAAGATGAACAGACTCACGCAACCCATAGCCAAATCAACAAACAGACCTCTTAAGTGCTAGCGTGTGCTCTTTTGCCCATCATTATGTCTGAGATACTTCCCTGCTATTGTGTGTAGTTGTAGGTTGTTCATTCTCACTGTGGATGTTGAACATCACTCCATTATCTAAATGGATACTTGCGTTCTTTCCACTTTGGGGTTACTGTGAATGATAATACTATGAGCATTCTTGTACATGTCTTTTGGTGAACATAAGGATGCATTCTCTTGGCTATATACTAGGGAGTCAAACTGCTGAATCATTGACACATACATGTGCAGATCTAGTAGAAGGTGCCCATTACCTTTCCAAAGTGTTTGGCTGTTATAAACAATGTACGAGAGTCACGGTTGCTCCACATGCTTGCCAATATTTGGCATTGTCAGTCTTCTACGTTTTAGCTGCTCCCATGGCATGCAGTGGACTTGCATTGTAGTTTTAATTTGCACTTCCCTGATACTTAGTGAACTTGAACACACTCAGCAGAATTTTGAAAAAGGTATATTCCAAAGCCCCACCTGAGAATGAATCCAGTCCTCTAGGGATGGATAGCTTGGAAACCTGTCTTGTCAAGCCCTGTTGTCAAGGAATACTCAAGCCACCATCCTGTCATTGATCTGTGGAGTGAGGTATGTCCTTTAATGGCTTTGTGGACCATGACTTGGTGCTGCTGTACAGAGCATGGATGTGGATCAGGTGTTCATTCTAGGTCTGATTAACTGTGGCTGCATGAAACAAAATAAACTAAATAACTAACCTGAGGCAAGGGTTTATTTTTTTCTGTGATATGAAAGAAAATACAGAAGTAAGGAGCCCACAGCTGTTTTGGGGTGCCACTGTGAATGAAGGAATACAGCTCTTTCTAGCTGCCTATGCTGCCACCTTCCACCATTTTTACACTTCATATAGGAAAAGGG